TCTACATGCCGAAAACTCCAACTTGACCCTGGTCTATTACCATGCACTAAACTAAAGTCAATATGGCTTAAAAATCTAAACATTAAAGCAGAGACACTAAATCTCCTGGAAGAGAAAGTGGGAGGAACTCTTGAAGACATAGGGGTAGGCAAAGAGTTCATAAACAGAAATCAAATGGCATGGGAAACACTTGAAAGAATTAACAAGTGAGACCTGCTCTTACTGAGAAGTTTTTTTCACATCAAAAGAAATTACCAACAAAGTGAAAAGGCAACACACAAATTTGGTAATAATCATGACAAATAAGCACTCAGACAAAGGTCTGCTCTCTAGAATTTATAAAGAACTAAAAAACACTAGGACCCCAAAATTTAAAGACCCAATCCAGAAATGGTCATCCGAAATGAACACACGCTTATCAGAGGAAGAAATTAAAGAAGCGAACAAATACATGAAAAGATGCTCCACATCACTAGCTATCCACAAAATTCAAATTAAAACAACATTGAGATATCATCTCACCCCAGAAAGAATGTCTATCATAAAGAAATCACCCAACAACAAATGTCGGAGAGGCTGTGGGGAAAAGAGAACCCGTCTCCACTGCTGGTGGGAATGCAGACTGGTGCAACTATTATGGAAATCAGTGTGGAGACTCCTTAGAAAATTTGGACTGGGAATCCCATTTGAACTAGCTATTCCTTTACTGGGAATTTTCCCTGAAGATCTGAAAACATCATATCATAGGGATATTTATGTGCCCATGTTTATAGCAGCACAATTTGTGATAGCCAAATCTTGGAAACAACCAAGATGCCCATCACCTGAGGAATAGTTGAAAAAGATGTGGTATTTTTGCACAATGCAGTATTACTCAGCTCTAAAGAATGATAAATTCAAAGACTTTATATTGAAATGGATGCCACTTGAACTTATACTCATAAGTGAAATAAACCAGACACACATGTGTAAATATCATATAATTTCCCTAGTATAAGAACTCAAAAGAAGAAATACAGATAGAAAAGTATAATACAAATAAAAGGAAAGCAGGATCTCAAGGACTAATCAAGAGAGGGAAAGGAGAAGAGCTAGGATACATGACAATGTCAAGCCATACAGTTATATGTAGAAAATGAGCAAGGCAATGATCCTGAGAAATCTCCAGAAGATTTTTGAATCTAGCAGTTAATTGGAAAGATTCTCATCCTGACTAACTATATATACTGATACCTGTGATCTAAGCAACTGCACTGATGATGGTAATCTGTAATAGTAGTTTCATGCTTGGAGTACATGTCATTCTGGTCTTCTGAATACAGGCTGCTTGTCATAACATGCCAGTTGCTGCTGTGCTGTCTCTCTGGTAGATGATTGTTCAAAGAGAAGGGAGTGGTGAATGAAGGTAAGAGATAGGAAAAGGAATATTTTGGGATTGTCCTGCTTCAAAGTTGTATATGGCTAGATTTTTGGACTTATGTGTAAACATAAGAAGTATATAATTCTTTATGTCTATTTTTTAAAATGCATTCTAATTTTTAAATGTTTTTTCATCACATTCTATAGGGACTTAAAGTTCAACATATCAATACTTGATGAAAAATTCCTGTTCCATGTTATACTTAAGATGTTTGATATTCAGACAGATAATGAGGTTAAGCTTAACAGCCTAGACTGTATGGTAGTAAGAATAATCTTGTCTTCTGGATAGTTAAGAACCTAAGTTTGCAGACCAAAATTAAAGAAAAAGGAGGGCTGCAAGGAAAGTCAACATTTTGGCCCTAGCTTTCTAAGGTCAATTAAGACTCAGGACATATGAGAACTTGTACTGTAAAGTCATGTAACTCAGTAGTGTCCCAAATTTTCTGATCAAGGAGATTATGGGGCCAAAGAGGAAAGTGATTGATAATGTAGCATGG